AGCAGTGTAGACAGTCCCGCTTCGGCTCTGAAATTTGGGGAGGGGGCTGGTATCAGAGCCCGAGCGCCATCCTGAGCGGGAACATCTGCACTGCTACTTTTAGCCCTGTAGTGTGAGCCCTGCAAGCCAAAGTCAGTTAACCTGGGCTCTGAGACTAGCTAGCATGGGATTTCTGTTTTGCTGTGCAGAGGTACCTCTAGAGGTTCGGGAGGGTTTGCTAGTTGGGAGTCAGGGGCTCGTAACCCGTGGTGAAGACTCACGAGAGTTTTAAGGTCATGGGTGTATGAGCTGGAAGTCAGGTAACCAACTTCTTTAGGAGCTTGTCTTCACTGCTCAAAAAGCTGTGTTTTCTTACCTCGACTGAAATAATGTGCAGGAACCATCCTGAGGTAAAACACCCTGAGTACAAGGCCGTTTAGTTTTCCCATGAGGTAAACTTGGCAAGGTCAGCAGTATACCGCCATCTGGGGTTGAGTGCAGTGAGCTAACCTCCTGGTAAGACAAACGTGCTTTGTCTTTACTGTGTTTTTACCTAGAAATAAATCATGTGCGTTAGTTACCCTGAGGTAGGAAACAACTCATTTAGCAGTGAAGACAAGCCCTTCATTATATCTCATGTGTCTTATGCTGCCTGGAGAACTATAGAGAATTAATATTGAATTCCACACAGTGCCAAACACAGTGGGTGCGGTTAACTAAACGCTGCATTATTCTTGTGTGAGTTTATTTGGAGCTGCCCTGAGGGCCTGCCAGGATGCAACTTCTTGTGGGAATGACTGAGTTCTATGCAGCTCCAGGGTCCTTTTTCTTCAGACTCTGTTTTCAACTAATATATCATTATAATTTACATTATGTTTGTACTGAGAGGCTTCAACCTAGTTGGGAGCCACGTTGTGCTAGGCACCATACAGAGTAAAAAAAAAGCCCCTGCTCCAAAGAGCTTGCACTCAAAGTTGACAAGAGAAATATAATTATCCTGATTTTACAGATAGGGAACGGGGGGCCCAGAGAGATGAAGTGACTTTCCCAATGTCACTCAAGCAATCTGTGGCAGAGCTAGGAGCTGATCCCTGACTTTCTCAGTCCCAGTCTAGTGAATGAACGATAAGCCCAGCCTTCCTGGCTAT